GAGACTGGGGATGTACCACAGTGGTAAATGCCCCTGGGAGAAATCCTCAGTACCAAAAAATTTAGAAATACACTAAGTGATAATTAAAAACAATAGAGATTGAAATGCTTTACTAAAAATCATTTAATGCGAAAACAAAGGAGGGAGGCAAAAACCACGAGGACAAAAAAATGGTACAACCTACATCAAATCCCATCAATAATGACATTAAATATTAACAATCTAAGCCCTGGGATGTGGGAGAGTTGTTGGCAAACCTTTTCTATAAAGGACCCGATAGTAAATATTGTAGGCCATAGTCTGTGCATACTCTGCTTGGAATTAATCCTAGACGATGTATCAATGGGTATAGCTGTGTTCTGATGATTTTACAAATAATTTTATTATTCTTATACCACTTACAGTCCCCCTCCTATATATGTGTGTGTGTGTGTGTGTATGTGTTTAAAATTTAACTTACACATAATTTACAAAAATAAATAGCTTAGCTTTAGAATACTGGCTGTAGTTTGCTTTATTTTGTTTACTTCCTTTAAAATTTATTGGATTCTTTCTGGCAGTTATTCTGGTTTTCATTCTTTGTTTGGTACTGGGGATTGAACCCAGGATTGCTTAAGCACTGAACCATATCCCCATCCCTTTTTATTTTTTATTTTGAAACAGGATCTCTTTAAATTGCTAAGGCTGGCCCCAAAGCTTGTGATCCTCCTGCCTCAGCCTCCTGAGTTGCTGGGATGTGCCCCCATCGTGCCTGGCAGTTACTCTGTGGTTTTGGTGCTAGCGATTGAACCCAGAGCTTCACTCATGCTAAGCTCACACTCTGCCACTGAGCTACACCATCAGCAAAGCCCAGCAGGAATAAAGGCAAGATGTGCCTCTATCAGCTCCATTGAGTCTTTCTTTAAAAGCCTTTTCTATCTTCCTAGGTCATTCTTTGTATCCTACCATATTTTTTTAAAAAAAGGATACAGAATGGCAGTAAATGAAAGAAGGGCTTTTGCTTCTCATAGTTCTACTTCTTTGAGGGGTGGGGGGTGGGGGCTGGGGATTGAACCCAGGGCCTTGTGAATGCAAGGCAAGCACTCTACCAACCAAGCTATATCCCCAGCCTCTTCAGTCCTTCTTTTTAGAGGTTATCACCCTATTGGTTCTTAATTTCACGTGTTCTGGCCATTCTCATTCTAAATAACATGTTTGTTTCCATTCATTCCTTGGTCACTTAACCTTACTTAACCGCAACTCATCAATGTAAGTCCAGGCATTAAACTCCTCATGGGACCCCTCTTTCCTCCCTGTGTTCTCCTGAGTTTGATTCATTCATGTAGTTGGTTTCTCTTTCTTACGCCATCATCAGCTTTAGACAGAATTCCTTGGCCCTGCCCTGTAGGGTGAGGAAATCAGTACCTCTGCTCCTCGGGTGGCCCAGCGTCCCATTCCTGCCTCTAGTTGGCTAGTACTTTCACATTGTCAAGGGGTGGGTGGGTTGGTTGGTTGGCTGGCTTGGTTTTAGTTTTACCATTTGCAGTCCATCCATTAGTTAATAATTAAATATTTTGTGCTTTAGGTATGGATTGGTTCTAAAAATCATAAACCAACAAATCTATATTATGATTATATAGTACGTTGTTTACATTTGAGCTTATAAATACAGTTAACTCATTTTAAAATATCCTGTATCATAAAATTCATATAACTCAAAGAAGTTTCAAGGTAAATTATATTTTCTCTCCTTGTCTCTTTCTCTTCCTCACCTCAGCAACTCAGAACCATGCCACATCTTAGCATGGTTTTGTTTTGATCATACTTGTTTTGTAATTTCTTACTCCAATTTTTATTTCCTTTTTAATGAAAGGAATACATGTTCATAATTTTAAAACAAAAAATTGTTATACATCACTCAAATTGGAAAACACTATTTCCTACCAGGCATGGCGGCTCACACCTTTAATCCCGGCTACTGGGAAGGCTGAGGCAGGAGGATTGCAAGTTCAAAGCTAGCCTCAGCAACTTAGCAAAACCCTATGCAACATAGCGAGACCCTGTCTCAAAATAAAAAACAAAAAGGGCTGTGGATGTATCCCTAGTACCAAAAAAAAGAAGAAGAAAGAAAGAAAAGTATTATTGACTTCTTACTGTGTGAGATGAAATGTTGGGTCTCTTACATAATCCCCGACCGCACTGCCCATGCAAACAGACATTCTACCCACACATGGGGTCCACCATGCTTCCAACACAACTGTCAGTTTTTTGGCTTAAGGAATACTGAGTGTTTATATTATAACAACTGGACCTGTTATTTACCCCTGAGCTGGGTAGTTTCTATGAGCATGTCACTTATTCATCTCTAAATTCTCTAACCAAATCAAAAATCAACAAACCCCTTGAAATATGTTGCCCATCCCACTGGTATAGTTTTCTTTTCTTAATAAGTTATATTCCATGTATGTATACCTTTAGGGAATCGAACCTAGTGCCTCACATGTGCTAGGTGAGCGCTCTTCCACTGAGCCACAACCTCAGCCCCTGGTGTAGTTTTATTGAAGCCATCCAGCCTCTGCTCCCAGGAGGCTGTTCCTAGTCCAATTGCAAGCTGTCTTCTCTCTCCTGAGTACTCCTCATTTCCTGCACCCTCTGCCTGGTTTACACTACTGTTTAAGTTGACCACCTCCTCCCTGAAAGGGTGCACAGAATGGAAAATTTTTGTATCTTACATGTCAGAAAATATCATTCTAGCCCCACATTTGATTCATAATAATTTTATTGAACACAGAATTTTTTGTAACTTCTTACCCAAATTTTACTCTATTACTCTATTCTAGCTTCAAATGTTACTTTAGATAAATAATTCAATACTATTCTAATACTGATCCTTTACATGTGACCTGGCTTTTCCTCTCAGGTTTTAGATTCTTCTATATATCTAAAGATCTGGAATTTCATGATAATGTGCCTTAGTGTGATTTTAAGTTTCACAGATTTGTCTCAAGTGGAAAGAACTTTTTAAAAAATTCATCTTATGCTCAGTGGGAGCATAAGATGCTCCCCACTCTAAAGAAGAATGACTTTTACATCTCACTCCACCAACTTCTCTACAAGAACGGGTCCCTCTATCCACGTCTGGCTCATCATCCATCAGTAGAATGTCATTTGCTTCCAGTCTTCACAAAGATTCTTTAAAATCACTGAGCTTCTCATCTATTTATGGATTTGGTCTCTTTGGTACGTCCTGTAACCTCAAGTGGGTTTGAAGAGAGAGTAAATATGTGCATCTATCACAGAAACCTAGAGGTTTCGCTTCCCTTTAAAATGCTCATCTTCTGATTGCTTAACTGCAGAATACCCAGGGCTTGCCTTCTAAGTCAACTTGTAATTGTTGGTATGAAACTTCACTAAAATATTCTTAGAGGGCACAAACCTGTTTCTTTTACATCTGTTTTGGGCCTACCTAGAAAAAAAATGGTTAATTAAAATTTTTATGCCAGAAGAGACCCAAACAATATAAATTATTGCTATGTATGCTTAATTATAACATTTTCAAATAAAAACAAAGCAAGACTCATAAAAAAAAGATTGGTGCAATTATAGTTCATCTTGGTTCCCCCCCCTCCACCCCCGACTCTTCATTTTTCCTTTTTTTCCACTTTTCTACATGATCATTATTTCTAATTCCTTTCCCCTTCTTTCCTGGTAGGCATATTTATTTTTGTTCAAATTACTTTCCACATTCACTTTTGAAAATCAGTCTAATAAGTGATTTTGAGTCTGTAAATCATGGCAGAGTGCCTGAGGAAAGGACCCTGACACAGGGGCTTATTAAAAAAGAACGCCAAGAGGTCTCTAAATACTTTGATCTTTAACTTTGAAAATAAAAACTCTGGGTTCTTCATTAATCACATGGACTACATGTTTCAGTTCTGACATGTTTCCTCGAGCTTGGCTAGAATTAATAACGAGCTTTTCAAAACCATTATTTAATAGTTACGTCTTCTAGCTTAGGAAATTTTCTCAAGAATAAAAGTAGCAAAAACATAACTTCAATGTGAAAGTAATTAGTGGTTATGCACCAAAATAAAACGCATAAGGTGAAAAATGGATCTATACAACACGATTATGTTAAATGTTGGAACACATATTGGAACCATAAATGCATCAGAGCTTACTTACTTTCTTTACTCATTTATTTATTTATTTATAGTTGTGTATGGACTCAATGCCTTTATTTGTTTTTATGTGGTGCTAAGATGGAACCCAGTGCATCGCACTTGTGAGGCAAGTGCTCTGCCTCAGCCACAGCCACAGCCCACACTATTGCTCTTAATGATTATTTCACCTTTACCTATAAATTATGAAAGTTTATTGTTGTTGTTGTTATTTTTCTTTTGGTAAAATTTTTATGCATTCTCTGATCATTCCAGAAGTTTTGGGTTCTTTTTTTAGTCAAACCAGTGAAGAACTTTTATAAATGTAATAAGAAAGTTTATTTACTGATATAAACATGTTAAGCAACATTGGAAAATGCCCAGAGACATCATCAAAAATCTTGCTTTATAATTGATTAAAAATGGGCTTAAAATGTTAATACTGACATTATAGTTGAAGTCGGTAGCCTGGGTGAGATTCAAATTTTTTATCATTAATTTCTAACATTAATTTTCCCTTAAAATAATTTTGGCAGTTAAATCAGGATATCAGAAACATTACTACTCTCAGTGTCACATATTGGGGACTTTTCCATTCCTTTTCTATCTAGCTGTTGTCATTCAGTTATTACATGATAAATTCCAAGAAATATGTGTTTTAGGGCATGGTGGCACACACCTATGATCCCAGTGACTTGGGAGGCCAAGGCAGGAAGATTGCAAGTTTGAGGTCAGCCTGGACAACTTAGAAAAACCCTGTCAAAAATAAAAAGGGATGGGGATGTAGCTCAGTAGTAAAGTGCCCTTGTGCTGAACCTTGGTATTCTGCCCGCCCCACCAAAAAAAAAAAAAAAAGAAATATTTATTTTAGCAAACTGTTTATTAGTAAATAACTATATAATAACATTGAAATCAGAGGAATTTTATATGATTTAAATCTCAAGAGTCAAGCCTTCAAAGGAAATATTCTGAATATAAAGCCTAAATATAAAACTGAAATATTTGGCATAGTCAGCTTATTACTGAAGCTGAGCACCAGTGAGGAGCCGGGTCTAGGCTCCATGGCTGTCTGCAGAATGACTTGTCGTCCCAGACCCTTTAGCTCACCAAGTTGCCTTGAGTTCAATGATCTCCTGCTAGAGTAAGGAGACTGACATCAGGAGATGTCAGTAGGAGAGATCACAGCATTCGCAGTGAAATCCATGCCTCTTCCTCTGCCTTCTACCCCAGACATAAGAAAATGCATGCTGCAGAAAAAGAGTAGTACACACACTTCAACTAAACTTGTTGGACTCTGAAAGAGTATTCCATTCAACTTCAGGCTTTAAGCTTTGGAAATAATGTTAGATGCAAATAGTGGTAGAATTTTTCATAATGAAAGAAATTGTTTCGTTCGTTGGCACCAAAATTTCTCTTCATGAAAATTATAACATTTAAAAGAATTCCTATTGGCCTAGAATGGGCATTTCACTAATCTTTCCAATTAACTGAAGAAAATGTCTTCTTCAAAATATTTTTACAGCCAGGTGAGGTGGTATACGTCTGTAATCCTGGTGGCTCAGGAGGCTGAGGCAGGAAGATTCCAAGTCCAAAGCCAGCCTCAGCAAAAGCGAGTTGCCAAGCAACTCAGTGAGACCCTCCCTGTCTCTAAATAAAATACAAAATAGGGCTGGAGATGTGGCTCAGTGGTCAAGTGCCCCTGAATTTAATCCCCAGTACCCCCGCCCCCAATATTTTTAGCATAGCTGGTTGGCTTTTCATTGCAAAATGCTCACTGAAATTTTAAACAACTTGCCCTGTGGAAAATATTGGGGATAATTTGCTTGAAATTATTGATTCAGGATTTATGGAATATTGTATGGGAAATATGTGTGATTTTTTTTTTTTTGGAGGGGGATAGATATGGGAAATTGATCTCAGGGGTGTTCTACCACTGAGCTACATTCCTAGACCTTTTTATTTGGAGACAGGGTCTTGCCAAATTTCTGAGGCTGGCTTCAAACTTGCAGCCCTCCTGCCTTAGCTCCCTAAATTGCTAAGATTTCAGACCTGTGTCACAGTGCCCAGCTCTATAACATTATTTTTTTAAAGTGAGGAACTTTCAAGAGATACATAATAGAGAGAAAAGGATGCAAGTCAAAGTGTAGTTACCCTTAAATAATAACTTCCCCCAAAGTGGAGCATGGGATAGTAATTCTAGTGCAAACCAACACATATTTTGTGACTGGATGGAAGGTCAAGGACATAAAACTCAGGAGCTTTTCTAAGTCCTCAACTTATAAAAGTAAGAAATATAGACATTCCTTGAGAATGTTCCTTAAGAATTAGCCTCTAATTTTTTTTTTCTATATTTCAGTGGATGGCAATGATGTGTTCAGGAACTTGGGTCCAACAGTTTTTAGAGTTTATGAAGTGTTACACACAACCTAACAATATTCAGCATGCTTACAAACACATCTTGAAACAGTTACATGATGATCTATATAAAAATGAAACTGTGAACTGCTGGACAAGAACAGTGGTCTACTCGCCGGACTTTTTTCCAAGTTCCTTGACATCGAGGATTGCCGATTGCTTGCCAGTGAAGAGTCTGATTTCTGAAACAATATTTTTGAAAATGTTAATCACGATAATAAGGCCAGCCCCGACAACTTTGCAAGATCCTGTCCCAAAATAAGTAAAAAGGACTGGGCATGTAGCTCAATGGTAGAGCACCACTGGGTTTAATCCCCAATCACAGAATTTTGAAGTTCATTACTAATCGAATTTTTTTTTTAAAATAACCATAAAGGGAATTTCTTTTCCTTAGATTCCATCAAAGTAAGTTTCCATTTGATCCCTATCTGAGGACACTCTCATGGTGGAAGAGTTGTTTGTTTAATCACTATGCTCACAGGGCTGAGGATATAGCTCAGTTGATTGAGTGCTTGCCTCGCATGCACAAGGCCCTGGGTTCAATCCTCAGCACCACCAAAAAAAAGTAAATTCACTGTGTTCAGTTCTCTCACTTGATCTGAATACAAGTGCCACATAAAGGTGAATGGCTATTTCAATTTGTATTTAAATTCTAAAGGTACCCAATTACCTCTTTCATCCCTTTCCAATTCTTTGATTTTGTAATGAAAAAATGAGAGTAGTGAAAAGAGAATGAAGCCAGATTATTAAAATTATTATTTTTAAAGTCACTAGTGTCTTAACCAGGATTTAAATACTTACTTTATTAGGTACAAATTGAATTATAAAATCATTTAAAGTCAAAATATGGATGAGGTATTCAGAAAAATATTAAATCTAAATATTAAGTTTCATTTGATATGCATTCCTCACCAGCTTTATTGTCCATATGGTGTATGCAATAGAGGCCTTCCTTTGGGCACAAGTGACTAATGAACATAAATTCAAATTATTAAGTATTAAAGCATACAACAGGAATGATGATTGACAGGAAAGTTCAATATTTTGGTTCTTAATCTGTATTTTGATCAGTTTCATCTAACATTCTTAAAACTAGAATCCAAGTATGACCTAAATTGGTCCTTGTCCCATAGCTGATCCAGTGTGAAGTTGACCCTTCTCCTAGTTATAAATGGTGTTATCAAGACTAGGGTAGATTTATTACAGGATGGCAAATGTTTTTGGCATCAATTGTTTCAGAAAACTCTATAGATGTATGTTCAGTTATTACCCTACAGAACTGAGCCCATGACTCTATCCCTATTATGACTTCATGACAAAACCCCTTTGGGCAGTAGTTCTGAAATGTCACTGTGGGTTTGAATCACCTGGGCAGGGTCAGCAGGCTGTGACCCCTCATAGGCCAAATCTGACCTA